ACGTTCTCTCTACAAACACTAGTGTCGTACGTGAGCATCATCAACTTCTTTCTGCAATGTCATGAAGCTCAGAGCACGCCCCAGGGAGAAGGTGCAGTAGGTGTGTAAGAAATGGCACCATAAACATTATTATCACCCCAGCTGGAGTACTCTGATTTCCCTCCAGACACACCCTAAGCCTTGCAATGATTCATTTTCCCCTTCAAGGGTGGCACTGATTCTCACTTCTGTGAGATGTTATCCATGTGCGCATGCCCAGAGTGGGTGGAGAAGCACATGGTGTGATTTACATTCCTGAGCCACCTCCACATGCCTCTGGGCATCGTCTCTGCCTTCTCTGGGCTGGGAGCCTCTGCAGTGCACCTTGAAACTGTGGAGGGGAGCTTTTGGCTTCTTTTATCTGCCCTTCCTCTAAAGCATGGGCTTCATGGGGAGAAGAGGAAGATCTTTTTCCTTTTATGATACCAACGAGGGCATTCCTAGCTCCCTCCAGGGCCCCCCAAATCGGAATGAATGCAATGAGTGCCTCTTGGAGAAGGCCAAACTTCCCCAGAACATAGATTTATGCTAAAACAAACAAACATGTCAGATGTTCTACTGAGGCTATATGGGTGAGATGAATGAGGAGCAGGAGAAAGGAGACATGCTCTTGGTGTCATGTGTCACAGAAGAGGGACATTGTACTTCCTGAAGCTGGAGGGCCCTGCCTGGAAAATGCGTCTTCCCACCAGACTGACACTGTGCTTTCTGGAGCCAGACAGCAGGCTTAAACAGATAGAGAGAGACAAAAGCATTCTGAACAAAACAGTTGGCTTAAATGACAATTAGGTCAGAAAATATGTCCTCAGTCCCTGGTTTATCCAGCCTCGATAAAGTTTGGTGCACCATTGACTAGTTTTATTGCTTAACTGAATTTTTAACCACTTTTGTCCATTTATTAGAATTTTGAGGTGTTTTGCTGTTTTCTTTCCCCTTTGCTCTGTTGTGTCTCATTCATTATCAGTCAGTCTTTCCTGTCCTAGCTGTAGCAACAGCAAATTTTTAAAAAAGATACAAACCCAATATCCAATAAGAGAAAATGCAGCGGAGAAATCTCCATTGGTGACAACATAATGTTCATAGCACGATGTCATGTTTATTTAAATGTAATAAATAAATGCAGAACAGGGGCCAAAGACTATACGCAAAACTGCAGTTTTCTCAGCAGAACTGGGTTACAGATGATTCTGAGAATTCTCTCTTAATCTATATATTTGGACTTCTTTTCTATGCTAAGCATAAATTGCTTTTGTAATAAGGAAAATAGAAGCAATCAAGAAGCAAATAATAAAATAAAAAGAAGGGTCTGATAAATATTGAGGATACATTAAGTTTCTCAAAACCATTTTGATCACCTATGCCTGTTCTGGCAGTATTTTCATAGATTTCCAAATTTTGAAAAGTGGATTAAAAAAATTTCAGATAGTCAATTCATAAGAGCTTTTCTAACTAAACTGTACATATAATTAATCATTTTCCATGTTTCCTAAATCTCGTGTGGCTAGACATGCAGGTGTCTCAGACGAGTGGAGGGAGAAAGCGACTGAAGATGAAGCAGACACAGGAAGCCAACAGGCAGGGGGTCCTCATGGCTGGGAGCCTCCTGAGTGGGGAGAGCACCCAGGAGGGAGACGGGAGCCTGGGCCTCCCGGAGGAGCGAGAGGCATCCAGCGCTGTGTGGATACAAGTCTAAGGGCAGCAGGAGCAGAGGGTGGTCAACAGCGGAGACGGCTCCACCCTGAACTGTGATGTCTGCGTGCTGCTGGGCTAGTCGTTTGATGGCCAGACCTTTGATGACTCTCTGATCCAGCGGCTCCACTCCAACACCTGCTGTTCATATTGACAAAGGCCCATATTGCCCTCCCTGCTCCCCATCTGCTTGACAGTCACCAGCAGTAACCGGAACCTCTCAACATCATGTGCTCTCTGGAATAGCCTGGGACACAAAACCTTTCTCCCAAACCAGATCTGTGCATGTCTTAAGACACTGGGTATTTTTCAGGGTACTTCCCTTGCACCATACTTCTCGGCATGATCAAGTTCATTCCCGTGTTAAATTCTCAACTCCTGTTTCAGGCGAATTCATCACCTCTCTGTGCAGGTTTCCGTGGTGTGGATGTGTGCACTGTGTTTGTCCTGGTCTTGAAGATAGGAGAGCAGGATCAGACGCAGAGTGAAGACAAGAAAAACGTCTCCTCAGTCTCTATTGGAAATGGCAGCAAGTTTGAAGTCAAAAGACAATAGAACATGTTGACTTGATGCAGTAAGAAAAGAAAAAGGAAAAGGGAAGTGTTTTCTTCTAAATTACTATGTATGAACACATTAAAAATCTACAATAATTTCCCATAATGTCAGTGGATTTTCTAGAAATACTTCTCCCAGAAAGAAGCCTAGGAAAAGGATACTTGAGGGCAGGGTCATCCTGGACTCCAGGCTAAGCAGTGAGCTGTTGGAGTGGGGCTGAGGCCAAGCAGACAAATGCACTCCCAGGCATGTTCTGGTTCACGGGCAATGGTTCTGGTACAGAGCTCTGCCTGTAACTCTTGGGCTTAGATGCGATTTTTTAAGCCAGCCATTCTATTTCCAGATTGTCCACTCATGCAAGTAATTTTGGGGTTAAGGAAGGATGAAGATAAGCTGAAGACAAAATTCCTCCAATGAATGAGGACACTGGGTAATCATGCACCTGCCAGAATCCATGCAGAAAGGGAAAAACTGGAGCAAAGTTTTCCCAAATTGCCCTGCAGTCCTCTCTACAGATTCAGAGAGAAGATGCCAGAGGGATGCTGATTGGGAAGCAATACTGGAACTCCACATTCCAAGCTCAGGAATGTTCCATGAGAGAGAGGAAGACAGGGCAAATGGAGAGGATATTAAACCTGGTGTTACGAGGCCCCCAGGCAGAGCGAGGACTGCACAGTGGAAGCTGAAGTCATCAATGTGGGAAATTCAGTCCTACGTCATCCAGTTCATTTGCTAATTCACATGCGGGTTGCAGATATGCTGTTACTGCTTACTTTACACCAAGCACTATCCTAAGTGCTTAGGATGTATCATTTGAGGTGACTGTGTGATGATGATGAAAATTACAGAACAACAATGAGAGGATTTATGGAGATTTACCATGTGCCAGGCTCTAGGCACTTTGCATGTCTTTATCATTTTATCCTCACAACAACCCAATAAAGATGAAGAAATTGAGGGGCAGGAAGGTACCTTCCCAGATGCACACAAAGGCCCAGGCAGATGGGTCCCTGCCCTCCAGGGCTCTCCTTCAGCAATGGGGAAAAAATAGAAATGAGAAGCAGGCTGGGCTAATGGCCTTCCTGACAGTTTGCTGGCATTTTCTTCTAGTTTTGATTCCTGACTTTTTCTTTCTTTCTTTTTTTTTCTTATTTTTTCTCTTTTTAAGATTGGCACCTGAGCTAATAACTGTTGCCAATCTTCTGATTCTTTTATTCCTCTGCTTTTTTTTTCTCCCCAAATCCCCCCAATACATAGTTGTATATTTTAGTTGTGGGTCCCTCTAGTTGTGGCAGGTGTGACGTCACCTCAACATGGCCTAAGGAGCAGTGCCATGTTCCCGCCCAGGATCTTAACCCTGGGCCAGCAAAGCAGAGCCCGCCAGCTTAAGCAGTCAGCCACGGGGGTGGCCCCATCTTTCTTAACTACAAAGACTAAATTGTCTTCTTCCTTCCTTCCATTGTGTCAATTTTGTTCATTATTGTATTGAGACATCCTTCCAGTGACAAACATTACATCTTTTAAACATGTACTTAAATGAGTATTTCCCTATGAATATTGAGTTGGTCGTTATCCATGATCCCCATCTTCTCTTCATTCTTGATCAATTCCCATATCATGTTGAATTTGTTGGGAATTTTGATTCCAGATGGCAATTTATTTACTGTGTTTAAAAATCTTCTCTTAAAACAGCCTTAAGATGTACAGTCACATCAATCGTTCACGGAATGGTAATTAAAACAGACTATAAATCAGTTGTCCTGAGTCTTTTTTACTCAACTCTGTTTCTTTACTCTTATGTCTTCTCACTTGGATCCCTTTATATCTTATTGTAGTGTGTTCTTGAGCAAGAATTTTCCAAAGGGATTCAAGTATAGCAATTTCCGGAGTCTGGAATATCCAAAAACAAGCCATTTGTCCCTATAAATGGTATTATATATTACTTCAGCATAGAATTCTACATTCAAGTTATTTTCCCTCAGAAATGTGAAGATTCAATCTAATGTCCAATGTAGCAAGTGAGAAATCCCATACATGTCTGATTATCGCCTTTCATTAGCCACTTATTCAGATTTTTTTTTTAAGATTGTTGCCTGAGCTAACAATTGTTGCTAATCTTCTTCTTTTTATTTTTTTTTCTCCCCAAAACCACCTAGTACATAGTTGTATATTCTAGCTATGACTGCCTCTGGTTGTGCTATGTGGGACACTGCCTCAGCATGTCCTGAGGAGCAGTGCCATGTCCACACCCAGGACGCGAACTGGCGAAACCCTGGGCGGCAGAAGTGGAGCTCATGAACTTAACCACTCAGCCACAGGGCCGGCCCCTTATTCAGATGTTTTTGCCAGCATTTCTTGATGTCTTAGATGCCCTATAACAAACAAGCACACATTTTCCCTGGTAAATATTTAGGCAGATGAGAAACAGAGAAGGTTATCATGTTCCTATCAGACATGCATCATGACATATGAAAAACAAACATGGACACCATGAAAATAGATGCATGCTGAGGGAGGGGCAGCTAGATCAGAAGAACATCAAAGCGACTCTGACAGGAGGATCTTAGGCCACCTCACCCTCACCTGTTCACACATTCAGGACAACACCTTCTTTCCTCCAATCCTTCTCCTTTAAATACAGGGAACTCTGGGCTCCCCAGTCACTCAGGCTCCTGCTCTCCCATCAGACCCTGGCCTCAGTCAGGTGACTGACAGCCATAAGGACGCTCGCCCTCCTTGCTACTCTTCTCCTCTTGGTCTTCCAGGCCCAGGCTAAGCCCCTGGGAGAGAAAGATGACCACCTTCCTGCCCAGGACGAGCCTGGGGCCAAGGTTCCAGACACGATCACCTCCTTGGAGGGGGATGAAGGTGCCACTCGACAGGCTTCAGGTGAGAGTCCAGCCAGCATGCTGTTGGGATCTGCAGGCCCATTAGAAGGACTTGTTGGGACACAGAAGCCAGGCTCAAATTGGGTGTGTGGATGAAGTGGGGTGAGGAGTAGGTAACTTTGAATTTGAGAGGTGGATTGCCAGGGGAGGAGGAAATAACATGTTCATGACAGAGTAAGATCAGAGAAAAATTATGATCCCGCATGACCAATATATAGTCAGTAAGATTTCTTACGATTTATGACAAACAGGTGAATTCTTTCCACCCGTACATGACTAGTATTGTCTACTGTAAGTGGACACGTTGCCTCTTACCATATCTCCATGAGCTTGTCTCCATAACTTTTCTCTCCTTCCTTGCCCTGTGCCTGACCCTCCTCTTCCTTCCACAGGCCATGAAAAACAAAAGGGGTGTTTCTGCATAGGCCTACTCTGCTATTGCACCTGAGCATCAGTCTGGGACTTGCAAGAGTACCTTCTCTGGCGCCCTCTGCAGTCTTTGTTGTCATCCCTGAGCTTTGTGGATTAAAACCCAAAGCAGTACAGCATTCCATTTGAAGACCTGAAAAGGGTTTTCTCTTTGTACTTTGCAACTTTTTCTTATTTCTCTCTCCAAAATAAACTTCAAGCATTGAACTCAGTGTGTTTGGCATTTTTTCCTCTCTTTTATTTTTTGACTTTAAATATGGCATTTTGTGTGGTTAATTTGTACAGAGATGTTTGTCTAGAACGGTATCATTACATTAACTGACCTTTACGCCCTAGTGCTGCACAACTGGAGCATTACACAGCGAGAATAAAAGCAGAAAAAATAAAACTGACTGTTAATTACAACAATTTTAATCTCCAAAATTCAATCCATTAACAATGATGCTCAAAAGAAAGAACTGACTGTGAAGTACATCAGAAGGTGTTTTTGACAAAAAAGAAAAGTGGATCCAATGGGCTATGTTTACTTCTTGCTTAAATTCAAGAAGTGCAAGGGCATTAATATATAGAATATTTTTCTTATTTTAAACAGATGTCTAGGTACAGATGTATATTTTTTTCTAACTGTACCAATGAGACAGAGTGAACTAAATCTTCAGTGAGCCACAAACAAGGAAAATCTAAGAACTTACCAAAGACTGAAAATACTGACTGGCATCGTGATGTCAATTAATGTGTATAGAAAACAGAGCCCAAAAGCTGCTCAGTAGAAGTGGTCATGACGAATGATCAGTGAAATAGATGGGCCCCCTAGGGACCACAAAAAGTACATTAGTCTGATGTCCAACAAAAGAGTTGGTCTCAACTCTCTATGTCTTCAAAGACATTGTCTACTAATTATAATGAAATCCTACTAATTTTAACAATATTGTAGCAAGAAATGTTATATTTCTAAAAATGCTACTGAACCATTCGAAACTAGTGAATATTCGATCATAATGACGACACAATTATTCCTACACTTCCTGTCCTGCAAAAACTTAAAGAACACCTTATTTGTCAGAAAGGCAAGTCACTAAACACAACATTTCTATCAAAGGCAGAGATATAAGAGTACTATGACATGATAAAAGAAACCATTTTTATTAGCAGAAAAAAGTATAGCCTGATAAAAACTAGTATCTCAGGTTTGAGTCATCTTGAAAACTCACCAAGCACCTTTTCCAGATGGAGAGTCAAAGTTTGACAATAAGAAGTAAAATCACGTTAACCACCTCCTGAGCCTGGGAAGATTACAAAAATCCTGGGAAGTAGTAATATCAGAACAAAAGAGAAGCAGAGTCAAATCAATGAGATTGGCACTTTTCTAATGGTTCTGGTGGAAGGGATGAACAAGTTTGTGATCCTTGTTCTTGAGTATGTTTGTCTATTCTTGAGGAGATTCAATGTGTTGGAAAAGAATCAAGCATGCTAAATGTATTAATTCATTGTAGAATGGTTCAGATCATCTAAATCATCACATTGGTATCAATATTTCATACTCAAGAATTGATTTTCAGCAGCATTGGTCGATTGTGCATTAAACAGTGCAAACAGTGCTAAGATGTTTTTCTGTGCGCAAAAGTCCTTTCAATATCAAAGAATTAACCAACCCAATGTAGGCTGGTCCTGCTGCCTCTACCCTGAGCTCTGTGGTCAGAGCTCTCCTCCCACCAGTAGACAGGAGGAATTGGGCTGTCTCCTTGTGTCTCCTGAGCGTGGATCCCCTCTGTTCTATCAGGGCCTAGACCTACGTGTTATATCAGGTCACCTCCTATGAAACTGGTAGGCCAAAACAAAGCAGAACAAAGCTTATGGCCATTAAGACACACATCCCTCCCTGCTACTGACAATGTTGGGCTACCTCTTTGTAATTGAGTCTCCAGCAGATGAGGAGAGTATATTCATGCATCACCTAGAGATGTGAGAATGATGATACGGTAATGCTTTAAGTAAAATGAAGCCAGCTTCTGGACCAGGTAAAGTACAAATCAGCTCAAGCGGGACAAATATCAAAGGAGGAACCATTACATTATAGCACAGTTCACAGGAGTGCACTGGGACCTTCTATCGACATACTGACCATTTCTACTTCCCACTTGAAGGCATCCTCAGAATGCTGTCCATTCTGAGGACTTCTCAGATCAGACAGACATCAAAGCATTACCTCGAAACAGCAGGGGGATTTCACATGGCTTATCCACTCCACTCTGACTCTGAACCAGGGAATCACAGAGTGTGTGCTGACAGTGTCTCCAAGTGATTGATGTTCGATTCTCCCATCTACTAGTAGAGAAATATAAAGAAAGGGATGGATCCCGCCTGACCCGAGAGTCACACGGGCTGCCTCAGCGCTTTCGGAGTCCCGTATCTCCAGGCCCTTCCAGCTGTGAAGACCACTGCTGTCCTCATGGCTGTCCTACTCTTCATTTCCCAGGATGAAGGTTCAACTCAGAGGAAGCGGTCAGAGGACCAAGGTGTCACTGTCTCTTCTGTGGAAGATAAAATCCTCAGCTCAAGAGGTTTCTGGCGAGAGATGCCAGCATCAGTCTTGTAAGGAGGAACCAGAAGACTCTTGTGGTCTCAATATTGGTACGACCAATCATATCCCTGTGAGTTCCCTGTTTACTTTCAAGGGCCTCAGTTTCTTCATCTGAACCCAAACAGTTAGCCTGGGTGATTTCTAAAGCATCTTCCTTTTCCTTGGGCTTTGACATCATGATATGTGGAAAAGTCTCTGGACATGTGGAAAATACTGGAGAGCACCCAAGGACAACATGAAATGGATGAGCCCGGCTGTGCTCCAAACTTTACAGAAACAGTGAGGGGGACTATGGGCTCAAGGGCCATAGTTTATTGACCTCTAGACTACACCTTAATCTATTTCAGGAGATATCTGGATACAGAGCAAAAGGCAAACGTTGCACATATGTGAAAATGTATGGATGCAGTGGCAGAGAGAACAAGTGTGGCTGCAGATCCTAGCACAGATAGACAAGGCTGTGAGGGCTCAGGTCCTCACTGGCAGTCATTGTCATCTCAGAACTCATGTTGTCTGATGCAACGAGTATTTCTGCAGCTCTAAGATGACCTGTTCACATGTTTACTCTAACTCAACATTTAACTTCTCTGATATGCTCCCTTCATCCACCTCCCCAGGCACCTGGCTGATGCTGCCTCTTCCACCAGGCCAGATAAGCATGTCCTGCTATTGCAGAAGGGGACCTGCCAGTCTTAGGAGCTCCTCTCCATGTCCTGCGCATTCAGCGGTGTTCATAACAGGTGTTGCTGTCAGTTGACTTCTTCATTGTAGACACAGAGAAATATAAGATCCAGACTGAAGTACTGGAGAGAACAATCAGTATCTTCTGGGTCTGTCCCTGAGCTTTGTTGTTATGCCAAGCAAGGTCTTCACAGCAAACTTCTGTTTCTGCTTTTTTGATATTTGATATGTGTACCAGTTAGGACTAATGTAAATGTTTGTAACAGATTTCTGACTAAAACTCTCTGAAATAAAATACTGGCTTTAAATACTTGGGGAATTCAAAGAGTGATGCTGGCCTCAAACACAAGGAGGTATGAATGCACATGATACTGAAGGTCGATCTGTTCATCTCTCTCTCTATCTGTCTATTAATGATCTATTATCTATCTATCTGTATATCTATCCGGCTAACTAACCATCTTAGGCTCTGCTTTCATTAAACTTTCCTATATTCTGAGGTAGATAATTCTTTAGAATTAAAAATTATAATCACTGTTAGTCACAAGTTCATATGATCCTAACACCCTCCTGCTCATGGAAACCCCACTGTCCACATCCTCAAGATGTGGGAGTGCTCCCTTAGAGAGTGCCCAATCACACACCTTTCTTTGAAGCCCTGGAGTTACATCAGTCCCAGTGGAATCCTCTCATTAACATGTATCTGAAGGTGTCCCCAAAGATATGACATAGATTCTTCCAGATGCTATGAAAAGTAACATACTTTTGTCCCATGGATAAGAGTCCCATATTTTGATGTAACCCACAACAGTCTCTAATGCTTTTCCCATTGTACGTTGGAGAAGCATCACAGAGTCATCAGTAGCTACATAAAAGTTGAGACATACCCTGGAAGCGATTTCCAGTACTTGGTAACAAAATCTCCTCTCCTGAATTTACAAAGAGTTCCTACAAAGCAATAGGAATAAATGTAAATATCCTCATTTTAAAGTTAATGTGAAGCCCCTGGAACCTGATCAAATTTTTCACCCTTTGAGTAGCAGAGGAAAACTTATTATCAGACAAAATTGAACAAAATTCCTATTTACAATTACTGTCAAGTAAAGAGATTTCACTGATTCCAGGACAAGGTGGCTGGGAGTATTGTTGACCTGTCCACAGACCAGGCTGTTTGACAATATAAGGACCAGCAGAATCAACCCATCAAAGGCTCAAGATGCATGTTACTGAAAGCAGAAACAAGCCCTCATCATCAAGACAGAGATTCCTATTGGGGTTAGTGCCTCCTGTGGGTTAGCAGGATGCTGAGTGTCTCTGAGCAATGAGGAGAAATAGCTCTATGGATGCACAAGTCAGTTGGGGAAACATCAGAGTTAATGGGCCTTTGGAAATGGATATCTGTGTTTCCATAACAACACGTGTGGCTATGCTTACGATTTGGGGAAGATGCAGCACAGAGGGACCTAAGAGAAGGAGGAATAAACAGAGCTCCCTTGTTGCCTAAAGTCCTTTTGTTGTTCCTGTGATCTAGCAGCTCCACCCATGGCCATGTGACCTATCTACTTGCTGGATGTCACTAGGTACCGTTCCTACTTCAAAATTATAAGGATCCTGATAACGCCACTGGGAATGTACAGCTCCCCTGAGAGGGGGCAGCAGGTCAGACAGACACTCTGACTCATATCACAAGATGTGAGGATTTATTTTCATGCCAAGAAAGCACTAACACCTGGAAGACCAAGTTTTACAAATGTAAGTGTGAAAGACACCAAACTCAGAAATCATGAAAGAATTTTTGAAATGACAAAGTCCAACGTTTCTGCCTGGCAAAAAAAAAAAAAAAAGCAAAGGCCAGAAGGACATACCCTGGAAGCTATTTCCAGTACTTGGTAACAAAATCTCCTCTCCTGAATTTACAAAGAGTTCCTACAAAGCAATAGGAATA